TTTTCACCGTGAACGCACTTTAAAACTGTTCCCACGGTTGCCACTGAAGGGCAGAAAGGGGAAGGAGGGCCATCGAAATTAACCGGAGAAACGCGAAATTTCGACCAGTTTCAACGGCAATTTGCTATAAACTGCGAGAAAGTTCTCTCTCGTTGGAGGCGAGGTCCCACACTCGAATTCCGCCACTCGCGCGTTGCATGATTTTTTGTGTCGGCAAAGCACCGACAAACATCGTTTTTTTCTCGCAAACGCTGTTTCCGCAAAAAATTCGTATTTTGCTCGGTTTACGCGGCCAGTTTTAACGAATCTAGCAATTTCTTTTTTCCTCCTTCTCTCTCTCTCTTCTTTTTTTTTTTTTTTTTTTTTTTTTGGTAATGAAGCATGAAGGATTTATAATTTTATTTACATAGCGAAATCGTACACAGAGTTTTATTCTCGAATTTCGTAACTTAAACGAGAATCGTTCTGTTATATACCTATATATTTATAAATTGTATCCTGAATAGATTCGAGTAGATTCTTTGCCGTTTTAGAGATCACCGGAGGGAAATTAGCGAAGGATAATAATTTGCAAAACGAGAACTTTAGGACGACTCTAAATTCTGTAATTGTAATTTTACACGCGACTCCGTAGCTCGCGGTTACGATCTGTAACTTGTTCCTCAATTTCTTTCTAGATGATCGCTTTCTTTTTTATATAGCAATTTGTCAAAACATTTACACGGAAGCTACACAGAAATTGGGAATTCGCAGCTTTTTTTCTGTAATGTCATAATTTTTTTTCTGTTTTTCTAAAATTTCTGTAAACGCATCGCGTTGCGAATCTGCAGAATTCATTTCTGTAGACTTCTCGCGGATTGGTCCGACTGCTTCGAGACGACTTCCGGTGCAAGCTCACCTTCTCCTCCGTGCCTATACAAAAGCGTAATAGCGTCATCAGCCGCAGAGCCTTTTTTACCCGAGCGTTCAATTCATCGGGTCGATTAATCAAGCAGCTTCGTCCAATCGTCCCCTTTCATAAACACCGCAATTCCACGCAAGAAGCTCGCCGCTTAAATCTTCAGCATTCACCAACCCCTTCAGCTTCCCCTACCCCTCCTGAGGTAAGCAAACGCCGCGCAATTCACCGAGTAGCCGAAGAAACCAAGTAGTTAGACTCGAGCCAGACAATGAAATCGGCGCGGTTGAAAGTTGTCGCCGGAAACGAGTCGCGCGTGCCCTCGTCAAACCGGTGCCGGTTAATTGCACGCGACAGATACGCAGCTTCGTTTAATTAACGAAACAACCGAACTCTTTCTCTCTGTCTCTCTCTCTCTCTCTCTCTCTCTCTCTCTCGTCTCTCGCGTTTGCATCGTCACAGCCTCGTTCACGTCTGCACGTGTGTATATGTATATATACATATATATATATATATATATAT